TCCTCAGCCGGCTAATCCAGTGTGTGAAGTTTTGCGGAGTGTTTGAGTTAGCTTTGCGAGGCAAAGATGAAACTGAGGGCTCCACCAACCCTGGTATTTTTCTTGGACTTGTCAACTTTGTGGCACAATTAGATGAGGTGTTTTATGGAAATGCATATTGTTTATGCAGTGTTGAGGAATGTGAAAGAACACCCTTGATTATTTTTACTGTGATAACTTATTTTGCTTTTGTAAGCCAACACTTTTGAGATCAGTCAATAAATGCTTCTGGTATTGACTTATATGCTGCCCCTGTCTTCATGTTGTTGCTGGACATATCTTTTTTAAAATGTGTGTAGGTCACCTAAATCATCAGAAAAATTGCCCCCCCTGAGAATTTTTTCAGGAGCCGCCACTGGAAATAAGTATTTGACCCTCTCTAAATCAGAAAGATTTCAGGCTCCCAGGTGTCTTTAATACAGGTAACGAGCTGAGATTAGACTAATCTCAGCTTGTTACCTGTATAAAAGACACCTGTCCACAGAAGCAATCAATCAGTCAGATTCCAAACTCTCCACCATGGCCAAGACCAAAGAGCTCTCCAAGGATGTCAGGGACAAGATTGTAGACCTACACAAGGCTGGAATGGGCTACAAGACCATCGCCAAGCAGCTTGGTGAGAAGGTGACAACAGTTGGTGCGATGGAAGAAAATGACCCAAAACACACGGCCAAGGCAACAAAGGAGTGGCTCAAGAAGAAGCACATTAAGGTCCTGGAGTGGCCTAGCCAGTCTCCAGACCTTTATCCCATAGAAAATCTGTGGAGGAAGCTGAAGGTTCGAGTTGCCAAACATCAGCCTTGAAACCTTAATGACTTGGAGAAGATCTGCAAAGATGAGTGGGACAAAATCCCTCCTGAGATGTGTGCAAACCTGGTGGCCAACTACAAGAAACATCTGACTTCTGTGATTTCCAACAAGGGTTTTGCCACAAAGTCATGTTTTGCAGAGGGGTGAAATACTTATTTCCCTCATTAAAATGAAAATCAATTTATAATACACTGCTCAAAAAAATAAAAGGAACACTTAAAGGTTTCTTAGAGGTTTCATACCGGCTGCTCCTTCTCCCTCACTACTGTGTCTCACCCACTTTTCATGTGTCTCTCCTCAGGCCGGTGGTTCCTGGTCCTCTGGTGGATGCCGTCCCCCGGGTATGACTCCTCCGCCCCTGGACATTGATGGGAGTCCGGCGTATGCGGTCAGGGACCTGCTGGACTCCAGGTTCCGTGGGGGACGGCTCCATTACCTGAAGGACTGGGAGGGGTATGGTGCTGAGGAGAGGAGCTGGGTTCTGGCTGAGGACGCTCTGGACCCCAACCTAATTTGGGACTTCCACTGTCGCCGCCCTGACCGGCCCGCTCCTCGGGGTCGTCCTCCTGACCGGTGTCCGGGGGTGGGTACTGTCACGTCTCCTCCCATTGCTCCCCTCCGGAGCTCTGATTCGCCGGTCTACTGAGCCACTGGTCTGAGCACACCACCTTGGCAACACCGGAATGGAAACCCAACGCACCCTAATCACCTCCAGTGCACCTGCACCTCATCATCTCATCACCACCCCTATTTAGCCCTGGACTGTTCTGGATGATGATGTGTGTGATTGTTAAGCTTTGTGTCGTTTACTCTTTCTTTGTAATTTCTCTTGCACATTGTTAAGTAAACCTTGACCTTGTTAATTCCTGTGTCTGCGTCCTGCCTCTTCGTATACTCAGTATGCGTCACAAGACCCCTTGGATTTCTTCAAAAAAATTTGTGTTTCAAAGTGGGATTAAAATCGATTTCAGTGTAATTTTTTGTCAACAATTTACATAAAATACTCTAATGTCGAAGTGGAAGAACAATTTTATGTTTTCTAAAGATTCATAGAAATTAAATAACTAAAATATATTTGTTGCATAAGTATTCAGAGTCCATACATGTTAGAAACCCATTTGGCATCGATTACAGCTGTGAGTCTTCTTGGGTAAGTCTATAAGAGCTTTGCACACCTGGATTGTGCAATCTTTGACCATGATTCTTTAAAAAATGATTAAAGCTCTGTCAAGATGTTGGGGATCATGGCTAGAAAGCAATTTTCATGTCTTGCCATTGATTTTCAAGCAGATTTAAGTCAAAACTGTAACTTGGCCACTCAGGAACATTCACTGTCTTCTTGGTAAGCAACTCCAGTGTAGATTTGGCCTTGTGTTTTAGGTTATTGTCCTGCTGAAAGGTGAGTTCCTCTCCCAGTGTCTGGTGTAAAGCAGACTGAACCAGATTTTCCTCTAGGGTTATGCCTGAGCTTAGCTCCATCCATCCTGTTTCTTTTTATCCTGAAAAACTCCCAAGTATTTGCCGATGTCAAGCATACCCATACCATGATGCAGCCACCACCATGCTTGAAAATAAGGAGGCAGTTACTCGGTGATGTGTTGTGTAGGATTTGTCCCAAACAGAAAGCTTTGCATTTAGGCCAAAAAGTTTATTATTTTGCAGTGTTTGTTTTTGCAGTTACAGTGAGGGAAAAAAGTATTTGATCCCCTGCTGATTTTGTATGTTTGCCCACTCACAAAGAAATGATCAGTCTATAATTTTAATGGTAGGTTTATCTGAACAGTGAGAGACAGAATAACAACAAAAAAATCCAGAAAAACGCATGTCAAAAATGTTATAAATTGATTTGCATTTTAATGAGGGAAATAAGCAGGGGCGGTGTGTTCATTAGGGCGATATGGGCGACGCACTGCCAAACGGGAAAAGGAAGGGATTTTTTTTCTAAGCAATTATATCACGGCAACAGTAGTTATCAGTGTTCTAATCTAGACGTCTGATCTGCCACTAAATGTCCAATCAGGCTAAAGTCGTGCTTCAAATGGCCCCGCCCCTTTTGGGGCGATTTCAGTCAGGTTGAAAATCGCCCCAGAAGTCTCTCATAGACTCTCATGTAAAAAAGGAACACTTAAACAACACAATGTAACTCCAAGTCAATCACACTTCTGTGAAATCAAACTGTCCACTTAGGAAGCAACACTGATTGACAATAAATGTCACATGCTGTTGTTCAAATGGGATAGACAACAGGTGGAAATGATAGGCAATTAGCAAGACACCCCCAATAAAGGACTGGTTTTGCAGGTGGTGACCACAGACCACTTCTCAATTCCTATGCTTCCTGGCTGATGTTTTGGTCACGTTTGAATGCTGGCGGTGCTTTCACTCTAGTGGTAGCATGAGACGGAGTCTACAACCCACACAAGTGGCTCAGGTAGTGCAGCTCATCCAGGATGGCACATCAATGCGAGCTGTGGCAAGAAGGTTTGCTGTGTCTGTCAGCGTAGTGTCCAGAGCATGGAGGCGCTACCAGGAGACAGGCCAGTACATCAGGAGACGTGGAGGAGGCTGTAGGAGGGCAACAACCCAGCAGCAGGACTGCTACCTCCGCCTTTGTGAAAGGAGGAGCAGGAGGAGCACTGCCAGAGCCCTGCAAAATGACCTCCAGCAGGCCACAAATGTGCATGTGTCTGCTCAAACGGTCAGAAACAGACTCCATGAGGGTGGTATGAGGGCCCGACGTCCACAGGTGGGGGTTGTGCTTACAGCCCAACACAGCGGAGGACGTTTGGCATTTGCCAGAGAACACCAAGATTGGCAAATTCGCCACTGGCGCCCTGTGCTCTTCACAGATGAAAGCAGGTTCACACTGAGCACATGTGACAGACGTGACAGAGTCTGGAGACGCCGTGGAGAACGTTCTGCTGCCTGCAACATCCTCCAGCATGACCGGTTTGGCGGTGGGTCAGTCATGGTGTGGGGTGGCATTTCTTTGGGGGGCCGCACAGCCCTCCATGTGCTCGCCAGAGGTAGCATGACTGCCATTAGGTACCGAGATGAGATCCTCAGACCCCTTGTGAGACCATATGCTGGTGCGGTTGGCCCTGGGTTCCTCCTAATGCAAGACAATGCTAGACCTCATGTGGCTGGAGTGTGTCAGCAGTTCCTGCAAGAGGAAGGCATTGATGCTATGGACTGGCCCGCCCGTTCCCCAGACCTGAATCCAATTGAGCACATCTGGGACATCATGTCTCGCTCCATCCACCAACGCCACGTTGCACCACAGACTGTCCAGGAGTTGGCGGATGCTTTAGTCCAGGTCTGGGAGGAGATCCCTCAGGAGACCATCCGCCACCTCATCAGGAGCATGCCCAGGCGTTGTAGGGAGGTCATACAGGCACGTGGAGGCCACACACACTACTGAGCCTCATTTTTACTTGTTTTAAGGACATTACATCAAAGTTGGATCAGCCTGTAGTGTGGTTTTCCACTTTAATTTTGAGGGTGACAAATCCAGACCTCCATAGGTTGATACATTTGATTTCCATTGATCATTTTTGTGTGATTTTGTTGTCAGCACATTCAACTATGTAAAGAAAAAAGTATTTAATAAGATTATTTCATTCATTCAGATCTAGGATGTGTTTTTTAAGTGTTCCCTTTATTTTTTTGAGCAGTGTATATATTCCATATTATATAGTATTTGGTGTAGATTGTTGACAAAAAATGTCAGTTAAATCAATTTTAATCCCACTTTGTAACACAATAAAATATGAATACTGAATATTTTTGCAAGGCACTGTAGTTACGTAGACCCTAGTTACGTAGACCCTAGTTGCGTAGACCCTAGTTACGTAGACCCTAGTTGCGTAGACCCTAGTTACGTAGACCCTAGTTGCGTAGACTACAGTTACGTAGACCCTAGTTGCGTAGACCCTAGTTGTGTAGACCCTAGTTACGTAGACCCTAGTTGCGTAGACTACAGTTACGTAGACCCTAGTTACGTAGACCCTAGTTGCGTAGACCCTAGTTGCGTAGACCCTAGTTGCGTAGACCCTAGTTGCGTAGACTACAGTTACGTAGACCCTAGTTGCGTAGACCCTAGTAACGTAGACCCTAGTAGCGTAGACCCTAGTTGCGTAGACCCTAGTTACGTAGACTACAGTTATGTAGACCCTAGTTGCGTAGACCCTAGTTGCGTAGACCCTAGTTGCGTAGACCCTAGTTGCGTAGACCCTAGTTGCGTAGACCCTAGTTGCGTAGACCCTAGTTGCGTAGACCCTAGTTACGTAGACCACAGTTACGTAGACCACAGTTACGTAGACCACAGTTGCGTAGGCCCTAGTTACCTCCTGTAGTGGCTGTTTGCAGAGGGGGCAGCGGAGGTTGTGGTCCAGGCTTCTCTCGAGGCAGGTCCTACAGAAGGTGTGTCCACAGGGAGTGGTCACTGGCTCATAGAACAACCTGTAGAGGTACAGCACTAAGATCAGTGTACAGCACAAAGTTTCTCTACAATAACAGTACCACAAGACTCCATAGGATGTACCACCTACACAAACTACTAACCTGATACAGAGGGGACATTCAAAGTCAGACACAGTGAGGACACTCAGAGAGTATTTTCTGTCCAGACTGCAGCCTCCTGAGGGAGACAACATAGAACCAATATCAACCATCAACATGTGTCTATTCTCTTTTCCAGTGTGTGTGTATGTGTGTGTGTGCTCTATGTACCCTTGCTGTGCCGCTCCTCCTTCCTCATCATCATCTCCTCATCATCCTCGGCTGAAGGGAGGAAGGACACGGCCTGACAGAGACTGAGACAGCACTCTGTACTGGTACCATGTTTCACCTTTGACCCGGTCTCCGAGTCTCCTCTCCTGTCCCCGTCTGCCCCCTCCTCCTGAGGGAATCGGAGGCTTTCGGCGTGTGTGTGGCTTTGTGTGGGTCCTGCGGGGAAGAGGCTTGTGATGGGGGGGCAGGGGTCTCGGAGGTACTCCGAGACCACCTGGAGGATCTGGGGCACCTCCTCTGGCACTGACATGCCCTCCTCCTCCAGGATCTGACCAGGGGAAACAGACACACAGATCAATCAATCTATTGGGATTAATTTTAATCACTGGACATTGATCACCGGATATTCGGCCAGTCTGCACAGCGCGTTATCGACCCAGAACATATCAGTTTTTCCGCCGGAATCACTGATTCACTGGACCTTTAACTCCGGATTCATCGCTACCAGCTGGCTACAACAAAATGGACGCTGTGGTCTGGCTAATCATCCCGAGCTAGGCCCATCTCCCGGCTATCTACCTCTCTATCAACCGGACGGGACCACCTAGTGTTGACACGGAGCCCCGCCGATCCTACACGACTGGTCTGCCGACGAAATCGTCTGATGTGGTTACGACGTTAACCACGAAGATTCCATCCATCTGCTAGCCCTGGCCCGTTAGCACACGTTATCGGTGGCCTCTTACTCACTAAACTGAACTAGCTACTGAACTAGCTACTTGCTATTAGCCACAGCTAGCGGTGTTTCACCCAGAATATTGGATTTTTTTCCGCAGGATTAATTTTTAATCACTGGACATTGATCACCGGATATTCGGCCAGTCTGCACAGAGCGTTATCGACCCAGAACATATCAGTTTTTCCGCCGGAATCACTGAATCACTGGACCTTTAACTCCGGATTCATCGCTACCAGCTGGCTACAACAAAACAGACGTAGCACACGCTAGCCGTGGCCTCTTAATCACTAGCGCTTCACCACCGGACCTTATGATAACTCAGCTATACAGCTGATATCTGCTGGACTGTTCCTTTTTACGGTACTACATCCTGTTTATGTTTAGCCTCAGCCCAAACATGGTTAGTTTATTGTTGTTTCGGTTATTTCTAATTGTACTATATCACTGTAGACCCCCCAGCCTAGCTAAACCTGCCTTAGTTAGCTCCTTTGTCCCTCCCCCCATACACTCAGAGACCGACTCAATTGATGCCTCTAGAGATACTATCTCTTTCATTGTTACCCAACGCTTAGGTTTACCTCCACTTTACTCATATCCTTCCATATCCTTGTCTGTACATAATGCCCTGAATCTTTTCTATAACACCCGGAAATCTGCCCCCTTTATTCTATGTACCCAACGCACTAGAAGACCAGTTCTTAAAGCCTTTAGCCGTATCCTTATTCTAGTCCTCCTCTGTTCCTCTGGTGATGTAGAGGCTAACCCAGGCCCTGTAGCCCCCAGTATCACTCCTACTCCCCAGGAGCTATCATTTGATGACTTCTGTAATCGCAAAAGTATTGGTTTCTTGCACATAAATATCAGAAGTCTACTTCCTAAGTTTGAGTTATTCACTGCGTTAGCACACTCTGCCAACCCTGATGTTCTAGCAGTGTCTGAATCCTGGCTCAGGAAGGCCACCAAAAATTCTGAAATTTCCATCCCCAACTATAACATTTTCCGTCTAGATAGAACTGCCAAAGGGGGTGGAGTTGCAATCTACTGTAGAGATAGCCTGCAGAGCTCTATCATACTATCCAGGTCTGTGCCCAAACAGTTTAAGCTTCTACTTCTAAAAATCCACCTTTCCAGAAATAAGTCTCTCACTGTTGCCGCTTGCTACAGACCCCCCTCAGCCCCCAGCTGTGCCCTGGACACCATATGTGAATTGATTGCCCCCCATTTATCCTCTGAGTTTGTACTGCTTGGTGACCTAAATTGGGATATGCTTAATACCCCAGCCATCCTACAATCCAAGCTAGATGCCCTCAACCTCACGCAAATTATCAACGAACCTACCAGGTACAACCCTAAATCCTTAAACATGGGTACCCTCATAGATATCATCCTGACTAACATACCCTCTAAATACACCTCAGCTGTCTTCAACCAGGATCTCAGCGATCACTGCCTTATTGCCTGCGTCCGTAATGGGTCCGCGGTCAAACGACCACCCCTCATCACTGTCAAACGCTCCCTAAAACACTTTAGCGAGGAGGCCTTCCTAATTGACCTGGCCCAGGTATCCTGGATGGATATAGATCTCATTCCGTCAGTAGAAGATGCCTGGTTGTTCCTTAAAAGTAATTTCCTCTCAATCTTAAATAAACATGCCCCATTCAAAAAATACAGAACTAAGAACCGATATAGCCCCTGGTTCTCCTCAGACTTGACTGCCCTTGACCAGCACAAAAACATCCTGTGGCGTACAGCATTAGCATCAAATAGCCCCCGCGATATGCAACTTTTCAGGGAAGTTAGGAACCAATATACACAAGCAGTCAGGAAAGCAAAGGCTAACTTTTTCAAACAGAAATTTGCATCCTGTAGCACTAACTCCAAAAAGTTTTGGGACACTGTAAAGTCCATGGAGAATAAGAGCACTTCCTCCCAGCTGCCCACTGCACTGAGGCTAGGAAACACTATCACCACCGATAAATCTACAATAATCGAGAATTTCAACAAGCATTTTGCTACAGCTGGCCATGCTTTCCATCTGGCTACCACTAACCCGGCCACCAACTCTGCACCCTCTGCTGCAACTTGCCCATGCCCCCCCCCGCTTCTCCTTTACACAAATTCAGACAGCTGATGTTTTGAAAGCGCTGCAAAATCTGGACCCCTACAAATCAGCTGGGCTAGACAATCTGGACCCTTTCTTTCTAAAACTAGCCGCCGAAATTGTCGCAACCCCTATTACTAGTCTGTTCAACCTCTCTTTCATAACGTCTGAGATCCCCAGAGATTGGAAAGCTGCCGCGGTCATCCCCCTCTTCAAAGGGGGTGACACTCTAGATCCAAACTGCTACAGACCTATATCCATCCTGCCCTGCCTTTCGAAAGTATTCGAAAGCCAAGTTAACAAACAGATCATCGACCATTTCGAATACCACCGTACCTTCTCCGCTATGCAATCCGGTTTCCGAGCTGGTCACGGGTGCACTTCAGCCACGCTCAAGGTCCTAAACGATATTATAACCACGATTGATAATAGACAGTACTGTGCAGCCGTCTTCATCGACCTGGCCAAGGCTTTCGACTCTGTCAACCACCGCATTCTTATTGGCAGACTAAATAGCCTTGGTTTCTCAAATGACTGCCTCGCCTGGTTCACCAACTACTTCTCAGATAGAGTTCAGTGTGTCAAATCGGAGGGCCTGTTGTCTGGACCTATGGCAGTCTCTATGGGGGTGCCACAGGGTTCAATTCTTGGGCCGACACTTTTCTCCGTGTATATCAATGATGTCGCTCTTGCTGCTGGTGACTCTCAGATCCACCTCTACGCAGACGACACCATTTTGTATACATCTGGCCCTTCATTGGACACTGTGTTAACAAACCTCCAAACGAGCTTCAATGCCATACAACAATCCTTCAGTAGCCTTCAACTGCTCTTAAACACTAGTAAAACTAAATGCATGCTTTTCAATCGAACGCTGCTAGCACCCGCCCACCCGACTAGAATCACCACTCTCGACGGGTCTGACCTAGAGTATGTGGACAACTACAAATATCTAGGTGTCTGGTTAGACTGTAAACTCAACTTCCAGACTCACATAAAGAATCTCCAATCCAAAGTTAAATCTAGAATCGGCTTCCTATTTCGCAACAAAGCCTCCTTCACTCATGCTGCCAAACATGCCCTCGTAAAACTGACTATCCTACCGATCCTTGACTTCGGCGATGTCATTTACAAAATAGCCTCCAACACTCTACTCAGCAAATTGGATGTAGTCTATCACAGTGCCATCCGTTTTGTCTCCAAAGCCCCATACACTACCCACCACTGTGACCTGTACACTCTTGTTGGCTGGTCCTCACTACATGTTCGTCGTCAAACCCACTGGCTCCAGGCCATCTATAAATCACTGCTAGGCAAATCCCCGCCTTATCTTAGCTCATTGGTCACCATAGCAGCACCCACCCGTAGTCTGCGCTCCAGCAGGTATATCTCACTGGTCATTCCCAAAGCCAACACCTCCTTTGGCCGCCATTCCTTCCAGTTCTCTGCTGCCAATGACTGGAACGAATTGCAAAAATCTCTGAAGCTGGAGACTCTTATCTCCCTCAATAACTTTAAGCATCAGTTGTCAGAGCACCTTACCGATCACTGCACCTGTACACAGCCCATCTGAAATTAGCCCACCCAACTACCTCATCCCTATATTGTTATTTATTTTGCTCTTTTGCACCCCAGTATCTCTATTTGCACATCATCTCTTGCACATCTAGCATTCCAGTGTTAATACTATTGTAATTATTCTGCACTATAGCCTATTTATTGCCTTACCTCCATAACTTGCTACATTTGCACACACTGTATATATATTTTCTGTTGTATTTCTGACTTTATGTTTTTTTTTACCCCATATGTAACTCTGTGTTGTTTTTATTGCACTACTTTGCTTTATCTTGGCCAGGTCGCAGTTGTAAATGAGAACCTGTTCTCAACTGGCTTACCTGGTTAAATAAAGGTGAAATAAAAAAATATAATAAAATATCCATCCATTATAATGGACCTATACGTTTTCAAATAACTGCCCTTTTTCTGGCCCGCAAATCGCTTTTGACAAACAAATCGGTCTGGAAGAAAATGTGCTGCCCTCCGCTGAATTTTGAAATCCCAAAGTGGCCCTGGAGCTGAATGATTGCCCACCCCTGCTGTTCACAGTACGTGTTTAGATTGTCGAACACTGTTCCAAGGCATTCCATTCCTTAAAGCATTCCTAGAACCTGACCCCATACAGTCATTCAGCCAGGCAGTCACTGACACACTCAGCTAGTGAGACTGAATGAGACAGTGAAGAACAGTCATGCAGACAGTCAGTGAGTGACTGGACCAGTGATTTGGTAAACAGTCAGTAAATGAGCCAGTCGGTAGTAAACAGTCAGTAAATGAGCCAGTCTGTAGTAAATAGTCAGTAAATGATCCAGTCAGTAAATGAGCCAGTCAGTGTTGGCTATAGCTACTGACCTTTTTAATCTGGCTCTTGGCAGGAGTGAAGTCGGCCTGTAGTTTGAGACAGCGGTGGAACTGGATCAGGGCTTCAGACTGACGGCCCATCTCCAGTAACACTTTACCTTTACGAAAGAAACCCTGGAGAGAACAGACAAGAGAGAGAGAATAATGGATGAGAGAGAGGTAGAGAGAGAGGAATGGAAGAGAGGGGTAGAGAGAGATAGAGAGAGAGAGGAATGGAAGAGAGGTAGAGGTAGAGAGAGAGGAATGGAAAGCGGTAGAGCGAGAGGAGAGCAGAGGAATGAGAGCAGAGAGGCGAGAGATGCTTAGAGATGAGAGAGATTTCCTGTCTTTTTGGCTCCTCCTTCCTCCCCTTTCCTCTCTCTTTCGTCTGGTCTCCTCCGCTTTCCGCTCTCGTCTCTGGTACCTTTCACCCACGTTCGTCCTTCTGGAGAGGATTCATGAGAGAGAGGAATGGAAGAGAGAGAGACAAATGGATTAGAGAAAAAAAGAAGAGCGCAACAGCCAAATCTACATTCACCTACATCAGGAAATTAGGACCTGAATATCTGAATATAGGTCAGTGTTTTTCCTCCTGGTACTTGAGTGCCACAGTCCAGACTGTGCAGGCTTTTGTCGCTGTCCGCGGTTCTAAAACATCAGTGCGCTGTTGAATTGGCGCCTTTTCCTAAACCATGCTGCTATGTGCATAATAGCACAACGGAGTTAGGAGACGAGAAAACAGCACTTGTTTTAATTGTCTAAGAAAAGTGAGGAGAGAGGAAACGCCAACTTAATTAGGTATATAATCAATAGCCTAACTGTTAAATGTGCCTGGCTTTATAAATCATCCATAGATACAGTACCAGTCAAAAGTTTGGACACACCTACTCATTCTGTCACAGTTGAGTGTAGAAGTGGTGTGGAATCAAGCGCAGGACACACAGAGGCTTGGTACTGACGTCTTTAGTGAAGACAAAAAGAACAAGCCAAACACGGCTACATACAACCTGGCAGGCAAGCGAACTTTACGCACACCGGTAAAGTACATACAAAGGCACAAAAGTGCGGAGCTCTCTACTACACCGAACAGAGAGACAAAAACGAACTAGCATCCCACAGTGACAACGAACAATTACACACAACACATGACAAAACTCAAGAGAACTTATAGGACGCATAATGAACACTAACAAGGATCAGGTGTAACAAAACAGACAAAACCAATCAAACATCGAAACATAGAACGGTGGCAGCTAGTACTCCGGAGACGACGACCGCCGAAGCCTGCCCGAACAAGGAGAAGGAGCAGCCTCGGCCGAAACCGTGACACATTCAACGGTTTTTCTTTATTTTTACTATTTTCTACATTGTAGAATAATAGTGAAGACATCAAAACTATGAAATAACACACATGGAATCATGTAGTATCCAAAAAAGTGTTAAACAGATTCTTCAAAGTAGCCACCCTTTGCCTTGAAGACAGCTTTGCACACTCTTGGCATTCTCTCAACCAACAGACTCTCTGGTACGCTTATCATATATTTAAGGTTGTTTACATTGTTCCAAACAGTCAGAAACATTATATTGTAATCTAACAGCACCTGTTTGGCACCCATAATATGCACGCAGCGCTTGCTCCTTACCTTCTTTTTCTTGATCTCCAGTATTTTCCACAACTAGTCACATTTATTCCACACAACCGACTCCCCCTTTACCTCCTGAGCAACCAGTATACATTAACCCGTTTCGTGTTTATTTGTCACGTCCTCTGCATCAATTTCGGAGTTTGTTATAACCAATTTATTGATGTGATTATGATATACTATAGGTCAGGCCCTATTGCTCACGTTCATGCAATGCATACATGTGTCACGTAAAGAAAGCAAGGGTTGAGAAAATAGGGAATGCTTTTCCTAAACAAATGAGGGATTTCGGTAACAGAGCTTTTCAGTCAGAGATGGCTGTAATTATGTTGCAGCTTCAGCAACATGGACAGCGCAATAAACTGTTGAAGTTCTGTAGTGGTCGCTGCAGCATGGAGGAGAGAGAGACAATGGGTGCTAGTCACACAGTCACTCGCTGTAATTTTGTTTTCACACAGTAATTCTGAGCACAATCAAATCAATTGTGGTCTCCCTCTACTCATTTGTATTTAATCAAACAGTGCGCTTAGAGAAGCTCAGTGCATATAGTTGATTTGATTAAAACACATAGGATGTGTTTATATATGGAAAAATACAAGTTTAAAAATTGATACGAACAGACTGTTCTCGGTCGACCAAGATTTTTTTTTGTCGGGGACAGCCCTAAGTTGATTAGCTGACTTAGGTGAGTTAGTGCAGGGCTTGAACATAAACTTTAAGACAAAGCAGACCTCCAGCACCAGAAGTGAATAACAATGACCTATATTTGGGCTTGTTTCTGCACATAGATGTTATGGTAAAAAGGAATAATCCTACACAACAGCCTTACTAACATAACATGACATAACAACAGTGTGTAGCTGTTATGGCTCTCACCCACCCACTAGTGTCCAATGATTCAGTTACGTTATGACATAAGTATTCATTTGCATAATGTACCCCAAATGACATAACATTTGTACAGACACACTAATTAGTGCAGTATTTTTGACCAGGGCACATAGGGGTCTCGTTAAAAGTAGTGCACTATAAAGGGATCAGTAGAGGGGAATAAACAGTGATTTTGTTATAAGAAAACAGAGGCACAGTTTCCAGCTGCATCTCTCTCTCTCCAGCGACTAAGTTCCCGAATCTCGTGCCGAGAGAGGAGCGTCCGGAAGAGCCCGTCTGTCTCTCTCTCTCCATCTCTCTGCAGCTTTCTCTCCTCTCTGCGAGTCTCTCCTCGGGAGAGAGTCTCGTCCCTCTCTCTCTTCGTACGTCTCTCGTCTCTCTCTCAATCTCTCTCTCATCCTCTCCTCTCTCTCCTCTCTCTCCTACTCTCTATCTCATCTCTCTCTCTCTCTCTCTCTCTCGTTGAGGCGTGTTTCTTACCTCTGTCCAGTTGGGGCGAACGCAGCAGAGGTCTTCAAAGTCCCTCAGGGCATCAGAGAACAGTCTCAGTCCCATATTGGCTTCCGCTCTCCACACCTTCAGACTTACATCACCAGGAGCTGAGAGGAGGAGGGGGGGGGGGGGGGGGGGGGCGTTAGATATAATTAACAGTGATCACTATCAGTGACAGTAGTATGATAGCTTCCCAGTATGAATTGGGTTAGTTCGATTTGCCCTTGCACCTGCAGTGCATTGGGAATATTAGACAATCTCCCAAAAACCTGAAGTTACAATATGAGCTACAAGTTGCACAATCATCTGATCTCACACCCTCACCTTCCCTCCTCCCACAAGCCCAGGGATCTCCAAGTGTAGCATTCTACCTGCTAGCTTTACAGCAAAGCCTGCAGAGTATGAATAGAATGGGATTATGTGTATTAAAACAATGGCTCAGCAGGGTTGCAGTAAAACCACAACTGTTATGCATAGTCCTGTGTGGTGCATAGAAACTGTTATTTATGCAAAGTGTTTGGTGCACTGACACCCTCAGTATGACAACACAGTCAGAAAAGCAGTTAGCAAACTACTGGTGGGTAGAGGAGAAAGATTCAGTCAGAATCATCACAGACTTTCTCTTACAGGAAGTTGTTTCATTCTCTATATAATGACAGAACATTAGTATGAGGTTAGGCATTCATTAGGAAAGATAACTCCTACACACATACACACAATTACATCTGCAAATTTTTCGTATGTTGTTAGACATCAACTCAAATCTAATCTCAGCACCCATAAACAAATCAGTTACAGTTAAGGCTGTCATGAGAGTCACAACTCACACAGAGAGAAAAGCAGTTACTGGGTAAGGCTGTCATGAGAGTCACGACTCAAAACAGAGAGAAAATCAGTTACTGGGTAAGGCTGTCATGAGAGTTACGACTCAAAACTGAGAGAAAATCAGTTACTGGGTAAGGCTGACATGAGAGTCGCGACTCAAACAGAGAGAAAATCAGTTACTGGGTAAGGCTGTCATGAGGAGAAAGAGAAAGAGAGAGAGAACTATTAAAGACTACTAGAACCCACTGGATTCTCCAATTACATTGAATGAACTACAGGACAAAATACAAACCCTCCAACCCCAAAAGGCCTGTGGTGTTGACGGTATCCTCAATGAAATGATAAAATATACAGACCACAAATACCAATTGGCTATACTTAAACTCTTTAACATCATCCTCAGCTCTGGCATCTTACCCAATATTTGGAACCAAGGACTGATCATCCCAATCCACAAAAGTGGAGGCAAAATGGACCCCAATAACTACCGTGAGATATGCCTCAACAGCAGACTCGTACATTTCCTAAGTTAAAACAATGTACTGAGCAAATGTCAAATTGGCTTTTTACCAAATTACCGTACGACAGACCACGTATTCACCCTGCACACCCTAATTGACAAACAAACAAATCAAAACAAAGGCAATGAATTTAACCATACAAATTGATGGAAAGCAGTGTTGGGGGGAAAAACAGTTAAAATTGGCAAAAAACACAGGGCCGTGAGGTGTGCAAAGCTGTCATCAAGGCAAAGGGTGGCTATTTGAAGAATCTCAAATATAAAATATATTTTGATTTGCTTAACACTTTTTTGGTTACTACATGATTCCATGTGTTATTTCATAGTTTTGATGTCTTCACTATTATTCTAAAATGTAGAAAATAGTAAAGAATAATGAAAAACCCTTGAATGAGTAGGTGTTCTAAAACTTTTGACCGGTAGTGTACCTCGGCCTTAACATCAGTGCCACAGGTAACTTCCACAAAGCTGTGAACGATCTGAGAGACAAGGCAAGAAGGGCCTTCTACGTCATCAAAAGGAACAGAAGAAATTCAACATACCAATTAGGATCTGGCAAAAAATACTTGAATCAGTTATAGAACCCATTGCCCTTCATGATTGTGAGGTGTGATGTCCGCTCACCAACAAAGAATTCACAAAATGGGACAAACACTAAATTGAGACTCTGCATGCAGAATTCTGCAAAAAATATCCTTAGTGTACAACGTAAAACACCAAATAATGCATGCCGAGCAGAATTAGCCTGATACCCGCTAATTATCAAAATCCAGAAAAGAGACGTTAAATTCTACAACCACCTAAAAGGAAGCGATTTCCAAACCTTCCATAACAAAGCCATCACCTACAGAGAGATTAACCTAGAGAAGAGTCCCCTAAGCAAACTGCTCCTGGGTCTCTGTTCACAAACACAAACAGACCCCACAGAGCCCCAGGACAGCGACACAATTAGACCCAACCAAATCATGAGAAAACAAAAAGATAAATATATAACAAACTGGAAAGAATCCACAAAAAAAACAGAGCAAATTAGAATGTTATCTGGCCCTAAACAGAGAGTAAGTACACAGTGGCAGAATACCTGACCAATGTGACTGACCCAAACTTAAGAAAATACTTGACTATGTACAAACTCAGTGAGCATAGCCTTGCTATTGAGAGGCCACTGATGAAGACCTGAGGCCGAAACGTATGTGTTTTGTTTGATAAACTCCCATATCTGCAGTGGTGGAAAAAGTACCCAATTGTCATACATTAGTAAAAGTAAAGATATATTTTAATAGATAATTACTCAAGTAAAAGTGCAAGTCACACAGTAAAATACTACTTGAGTAAAAGTCTAAAAGTATTTGGTTTTAAATATACTTAAGTATCAAAAGTAAATGTAATTGCTAAAATATACTTAAGTATCAAAAGTAAAAGTATAAATCATTTAAAATTCCTTATATTAGGCAAACCAGACGGCACAATTTTCTTATTTTTGTAATTTACGGATAGCCAAGGGGCACCCTCCAACACTCAGACATAATTTACAAATTAAGCATTTGTGTTTAGTGAGTCCTCCAGATCAGAGGCAGTAGGGATGACCAAGTAACAAGTACTTTTGGGTGTCAGGGAAGAAAAAGTACATTATTTTCTGTAGTGAAGTAAATAGTAAAGTCAAGTACAGATACCCCAAAAAACTACTTAAGTAGTACTTTAAAGTATTTTTACTTAAGAATTTTACATCACTGCATATCTATTAGGTGAAATCACAGCAGCAAGATTTGTGTCCCGTTGCCATGTGAAAAGTGCAACCAATGGAGCACAAACAACATTGTAAATACCACAAATATTTATCTGTTTATTTATCTACTATTTGTAGTACTATTTGTACTACAACTATTTGCACTATAAAACACATTACATAGCTAATATAACTGATAATAGCTGATATATAGCTGATAATATAATACTTGAAACCTTTTTGAGTGCAATATCTGGTTAAATTTGAAGGTTTTTGTTGATGTTGTTTTGTGTCTTCTCACTTTTGTTTGTTGTTTATTTCACTTGCTTTGGCAATGTAAACACGTTTCCCATGCCAATTAAGCCCCTTTCAATTAAAATACAGAGAGAGAGAGAGAGAGAGAGAGAGAGAGAGAGAGAGAGAGAGGAGAGAGAGAGAGGAGAGGAGGAGAGAGAGAGAGAGAGAGGAGAGAGAGAGAGAGAGAGAGAGAGAAGGGAGCAGTGTGAAAGGGAAGCAGGAAGTTGTTCATTGGATTAGAGAGGATGACAGACACGTAGGTGGATCCCATCACATTACAGCAGGGTTCCCCAATATTGTACGCTCTTGTTGGCTGGTCCTCACTACATATTCGTCGCCAAACCCACTGGCTCCAGGCCATCTATAAATCACTGATAGGCAAATCCCCGCCTTATCTTAGCTCATTGGTCACCATAGCAACACCCACCCGTAGTCTGCGCTCCAGCAGGTATATCTCACTGGTCATCCCCAAAGCCAACACCTCCTTTGGCCGCCATTCCTTCCTGTTCTCTGCTGCCAATGACTGGAACAAATTGCAAAAATCTCTGAAGCTCGAGACACTTATCTCCCTCACTAACTTTAAGCATCAGTTGTCAGAGCACCTTACCGATCACTGCACCTGTACACAGCCCATCTGAAATTAGCCCGCCCAACTACCTCATCCCTATATTGTTATTTATTTTGCTCATTTGTACCCCAGTATCTCTATTTGCACATCATCTCTTGCACATCTAGCATTCCAGTGTTAATACTAATTGTAATTATTTTGCACTATAGCCTATTTATTGCCTTACCTCCATAACTTGCTACATTTGCACACACTGTATATATATTTATTTCTGTTGTATTTTTGACTTTGTTTTGTTTTACCCCATATGTAACTCTGTGTTGTTGTTTTTAATCGCACTACTTTGCTTTATCTTGGCCAGGTCGCAGTTGTAAATGAGAACTTGTTCTCAACTGGTTTACCTGGTTAAATAAAGGTGAAATAAATAAAAATTAAAATAAAAATATAAAAAAATAGGCGGCCCGCAAGGTTTGAAAATATTCTGTTTTTTTCAAATAGTATTTCTGTTTGGGATTCTTGCGGTCAATTTTCAATAAAAAAATGATTTATAACTATGTTCCGGCCCCCCGACCATCCGCTCAAGGAAAAATCGGCCCACGGCCGAATGTAATTGGGGACCCCTGCATTAAAGTATGTAGGTTTTCTCTATTATACTACACTGAGTATATAAAACATTAAGAACACCTGCTCTTTCCATGACATAGACTGACCAGGTGAATCCAGGTGAAAGCTATGATGCATTATTGATGTCACCTGTTAAATCCACTTCAATCAGTCTAGATGAAGGGGAGGAGACAGGCTAAATAAGGATTTTTAAGACTTGAGACAACTGAGACATGGATTGTGTACGTGTGCCATTTAGAGGGTGAATGGGCAAGACAAAAGATTTAAGTGCCTTTGAACCGGGTATGGTAGTTGGTGCCAGACACACCGGTTTGTGTCAAGAACTGCAACGCTGCTGGGTTTTTCACGCTAAACAGTTTCCCGTATCAAGAATGGCCCACCACCCAAAGGACATCCAGCCAACTTGACACAACTGTGGGAAGCATTGGAGTCAACATGGGCCAGCATTCCTGTGGAATGCTTTCGGGGAGGGGGGGGGGGGGGGGGGGGATAGGATCACCTGTTGCACAGCGAGAGCCAGCTCCTCATAGCTGGTTGATGCATGGAATAAAATATATGTGTTCCTGTTGCGCAACATTTCTATAGGCTATGCAATTGCATGAGAAAACAGAGTTTTGATGGCCTCTATTAAAAAGAGGATCCTGTAAGCTTTCTATAGGCTAGGCCTACTATATTTATTTCTCAACTTTCCATATATTAAGCACATTGCTTTGCTTTGCTTTACAACCGGAGCAGCCTACCTGGCTCCATTTGCTACTCCAGTGCATAGGGATGACGTCTTTTACCCTGCCCCTGTTCCAACAGGTGCATGATAATGGCCCATTCTAAATCAAAACTAATTTCACACATATTATTTAGTACATGTAAAGACCAGTGCTTAATTTGTAAATCGGTTGTTGCCAGAACAAAAAGTGAGCGCGAGAGGGGGGTGACCTGGGCAGCTCTGAGGTACCGGAACGCATGAGAAAAATAAAATCACCTTTTATAATAAAGCATTGAATGCATATCATCACATTTGCGTAGCGGCATAGAGCAGTAGAGTTGAGGCACTTATAGTAGTTGCACACATGGGGAATTTTCTTTTGTAGCCTAGGATCCTGGAAAAATTTGTCCTTTTATAAATGCATTTCATGCAATTCTAAGTAATTTTACATGACTGGAGACTGGCAGAATCTTTTTTAATACCGCACAAATTATCGAAATGACAGGCTACTTTGACACTGAAACTGAGAATCCGAGATCAATAAAAATGACCTTGCAAGTCACACAGTAAAATACTACTTGAGTAAAAGTCTAAAATGATTTGGTTTTAAATTTAGTTAAGTATCAAAAGTAAATGTAATTGCTCAAATATACTTAAGTATCAAAAGTAAAAGTATAAATCATTTCAAATTCCTTATATTAGGCAAACCAGACGGCACGATTTTCTTATTTTTGTAATTTACGGATAGCCAAGGGGCACACTCCAACACACATTAAGCATTTGTGTTTAGTGAGTCCACCAGATCAGATGCTATTATGTGTAGTAGGCCATCATTAATTATTTCATTTCTTTCTGAACAAACAGCAGTCATTCTATAACTTTGGCAAATTTATTTCAATTTATAAGCCCAGTCATTGCGCAATTGTGTGTGAAAACAGAGTTTTGATTGGCCACTATACAATAAAAGCGGATCCCAGCTTTCTCGTGCTGCTATATTTACTGTATTTCTCAATTCAAAACAATCAAGTACATTAATCCGCTTTACAAACGGTGTAGCCTACCTGGCATATTAAAAAAGTAACTGCACGTAACCTCCATTCCCTATTCGAGTGCAGGCTATGGATGACTTTTTTTGTGTTGGCCATTTCTAAAAATAAAATCCACACATATATTAGTAGGCTATATGTAAAGACCAGATTAAATTGAAAATACTGCATGATCATATTATCAAATGCTTGTCAAACTGTGAAAAAATAATGCCACGGGAATTACAACAATATCTTGTCTGCTCAATGAGCTAGTGTAGCCCACAGCCATATCAGGGCCTAACATAAAGACAACAGAGTATGCTATTCTGTTCTTCTGAAATAGACTACATTTTCTTTATATCATGTTTCTTTAGAACTGCCTAAAATAAATAATGGACTTATTGTGATGGTGTAGGCTATATTAAATTGATTTATTAGACTTTTTTCAAATGTAGATGTTCCAAAGGTCCGCAACAGTGGCTTGTAGGCTATGCATGGCATACAAGCCCTCAGTCCAGCCTCTCTCAGCCTATTGCAGACAGTCTGAGCACTGATGGAGGGATTGTGCGTTCCTGGTGTAACTCGGGCAGTTGTTGTTGCCATCCTGTACCTGTCCCGCAGGTGTGATGTTCGGATGTACCAATCCCGTGCAGGTGTTGTTACACGTGGTCTGCCACTGCGAGGACAATCAGCTGTCCGTCCTGTCTCCCTGTAGCGCTGTCTTAGGCGTCTCACAGTACGGACATTGCAATTTATTGCCCTGGCCACATCTGCAGTCCTCATGAAGGGACCCTGGGCATCTTTCTTTTGGTGTTTTTCAGAGTCAGTAGAAATGCCTCTTTAGTGTCCTAAAATTTTCATAACTGTGACCTTAATTGCCTACAGTCTGTAAGCTGTTAGTGTCTTAACGACCGTTCCACAGGTGCATGTTCATTAATTGTTTATGGTTCATTGAACAAGCATGGGAAATAGTGTTTAAACCCTTTACAATGAAGATCTGTGAAATTTGGATTTTTACTAATTATCTTTGAAAGACAGGGTTCTGAAAAAAGGGAGGTTTCTTTTTTTGCTGAGTTTATATAAACCCTGGATTGCTGATACTATGTATTGACCAATGAGAGGCTTTGTATACACCTGTCAGCCATATTGGCACTCCACAGAAAAGCAGTCCTCCAGAGGAATTAATGGAATTCTACAGTATTTAATTTAAATGTTACAAGGACAAAATACATGTATTTAAGTATTGTTGTAGTGGGGACAGTAACATTAATACTTTCAAAAAAAGTATACTTTAAGGGAATAATCAATTTTGTTATTTTTTATGTTTAGCTCACATAATATAATTTAAAAGTATGCATGAAGGTGTCTGTAATAGAATAAACGTGGCAAAAAAACGAATGTAGATATTTATAAATGCATTTCTATAGCTTCAAAAATATGTTTTACAATAGTGTAGGGGGGGACTGCCAGGAAGAAGGCGCATTGGCTTCAAAACAGCGGCCCATGTCAGTCATGTAGTCATATATATTTTTACATTTTTTGTCATTTAGCAGACGCTCTTATCCAGAGCGATTTACAGTTAGTGAGTGCATACATTTTTCATACTGCCCCCCCCCCCCCCCCCCCCGTGGGAATATATCTAAATCATTGGCGGTAACAAGCATGTGTGTAAAGGTTGTCTATTTCCATGTTATATGCCGTGCACAAACACATTATATGTTGCCTATGTACATGTGTAGAATAGATGGGAGACAAAGTACATGGACCAAAATAATTACAACTGCATTCTATCACAGGCTTATAAAGAGAACTGCATAAACAGAACAGAACTGCATTTAATAAGGCCGATTCTTACAACTGTGTATCTGGTGTGTTAAGAGTTTTTTTTTATTTGGGTTATATATGTTGGACCACTGTGACTGTAGTACTGCCTCCCACCATGTGGCTCTTATCTGACCAAGCTACTGGCTACTACAGGAGTGCATGCCAGGTCACTACACCACCATTATATTATAGCAGTTTTAACAGTATTTTATTTAACCTGTATTTAACCAGGAAAAGCCAGTTGAGGTTAGAAGCCTCTTTTGCGAGGGGGGCCTGATTGTGTCCGCTGTATTGCACTGAAGACAAAATCATTTCATCTGAGCACATTAATATATAGGAATGAACTTCAAATGTGTGTGTTTTTTTAGTCAGCATGATCATTTTACTTCATACGTCCTGGCTGGAGTTTTTTGGGGTAAACATCTGTGTGACCTAAATGTACCTAATCAGTGTGGTGTGGGGCTTTTATAAGTGGCTGGATTCCACTTTACACAACGTGTATACACACATTTGATCATAGGCCTGTCCTGCAGCCTACTCGAGGGCTGCGTAAGAAAATGTCTTCCCAAAACGTACTCAAGTTCACACATTCTTTTTAGGAACCTACCTAGTTGTATCCCTTCATCCGCGATGCGTAAAGCTTCTGTGAACTCGCTGGTTTTGAGTTTCTCCAGAATATGGCACTTCATCCTCGTCTCTTCTGGGCAGCACTTCTCAATGACACTGAAGATCAGGATGTTGTTCTTGATGTTTTTGGCGTCTCTCTGTTTAAATCTTTCCTTGCAGGCTGGGCACCTGGATGGCAAGTAGTTTCCCAGGCAGCTCCGGCAGAACGAGTGACCACAGGACATGGTGGCCGGTTCACACATGAGGAACAGGCAGATTGGGCACTCAAGTAGATCCATAGTGGCACAGTGGCGGGGTTATGTCACCTCAGCCGGTCCTTGCTCTCTCCGGCCAGGGGTGAGTTGAGAGGCTCCGCTCTCTAGAGGCTTTCTCTCTTAGGTTATACGATTATCGACGCGGACGCTTCCCAGTCAGTCACATGCGACATGGTTTCAGTGGTTGGGTTAAGTAATGTGCGCTGCTTATGGTTAAGTAACGTACGCTTCTTATTAGTCCCCATCTATCCTTCCTGTCTATCTAATCACCATCTAAACAACGACAGACACTCCTCTCCGATTCACATGAACTGACTACAGGCCTCTTTCTGATCCAGTTAACAAAGGCTCTCTGAACCCAAGATCTAACCATGAAGCCCTAATAGTGTAAACCCTTCCGATTCATTCACAGGCGTTTTCCATCATCAAGCATAAAGTATTTGGTTTGGAACAACACCACGTAACGTCTTCTCTTTCCTGTAAACTTGATGAATAGAAAGTCCAATCGTTTCTCGTCTGGTTGTCTTCAAATTCTGAACTCCATCAACACTAGACCAATATTGGGTCAGAATTTTAACAACGATTCCTCGAATTTTTCGGCCTCGGGCTCTACTGTAAAAACACAGCCGGGAGATGTCATTTTATCGCCCTGTTACGCATTGTATGGATGGAGCTCGACAAAGCCCAAGCCATACAGTGTAACACCATTACCTTACATAAATAAAGATCACGTGATGGGAAAGCTGGGTATGCTATTGGTCGAAAGACCGGCGTCCCACCCTGTTGTGAAACCGATTTATGCGGAGTTTCATAACACGCTTTTTCTCTGACTGGAGAAGAACAGGGAGGACCCGACAGACAGTGGCATTTTATGTTAATAAAAATAATAACTAGCGAAGTTAAGAAGTTACTAATCTCCACACTCTATTATGATGACGTGAGATTTTGCAGTCATCAAAATACAGAGAATCCGCCGCCTGCAAAAACGTGATGTGACAGAAAAACGTGAACGTTTTTTTTCTTCTGCAAATAGACACTTTTATAACAGATGCTAGGCTATCTTGTGCAACGCGATATGCTACTTTCTTTGTCTAATGATACACTACATGATCAAAAGTATGTGGACACCTGCTTGTCGAACATCTCATTACAAAATCATAGGCATTAAAATGGAGTTGGTCCCCCCTTTGCTGCTATAACAGCCCCACTCTTCTGGGAAGGCATTGCACTAGCTGTTGGAACATTGTTCCGGGAACATGCTTCCATTCAGCCACAAGACCATTAGTTAGGTCGAGCACTGATGTTGGGGCGATTAGGCCCGCAGTCGGTGTTCCAATTAATCTCAAAGGTGTTCGATGGGGTTGAGATCAGGGCTCTACACAGGCCAGTCAAGTTCTTCCACACTGATCTCGACAAAACCATTTCTGTATGGACCTGGCTTTGTGCACAGGGGCATTGTCATGCTGAAACAGGAAAGGGCCTTCCCCAAACTTTTGCCACAAAGTTGGAAGCACAGAATCGTCTAGAATGTAATTGTATGCTGTAGCGTTAAGATTTCCTTTCACTGGAACTAAGGGGCATAGCCAGAAACATGAAAAACATCCCCAGACCATTATTATTCTTCCACCAAACTTTACAGTTGGCACTATGCATTGGGGCAGGTAGCGTTCTACTGGCATCCGCCAAACCCAGATTCGTCTGTCGGACTGCCAGATGGTGAAGCGGGATTCATCACTCTAGAGAACGCGTTTCCATTCCTCCAGAGTCCAATAGCGGCAATCTTTACACCACTCCAGCCGACGCTTGGCATTGTGCATGGTGATCTTAGGCTTGTCTGCTTGGCCATGGAAACCCATTTCATGAAGCTCCTGATGAACAGTTATTGTGCTGACATTGCTTCCAGAGGCAGTTTGGAACTCGGTAGTGAGTGTTGCAACTGAGGACAGACGATTTTTACACGCCACGTGCTTCAGCACTCGCCGGTCCCGTTCTGTGAGCTTGTGTGGCCTACCACTTCACGGCTGAGCCGTTGTTGCTCCTAGACGTTTCCACTTCACAATAACAGCACTTATAGTTGACCAGGGCAGCTCTAGCAGGGCATACATTTGATGAACTGACTTGTTGGAAAGGTGGCATCCTATGACGTTGAAAGTCACTGAGATCTTCAGTAAGGCCATTCTACTGCCAATGTTTGTCTATGGAGATTGCATGGCTGTGTGCTTGATTTTATACACCTGTCAGCAACGGATGTGGCTGAAATAGCCAAATCCACTAATTTGAAGGGGTGTCCACATACTTTTGTATATATACTGTAGATAGATGGATGAAAGATGATAGATCAATTAGTTTATTAGTTACATGCACAGGGTCGTAGATGTAATCGCAGGGTACAGTGATATTCATATGCTCCAAGCTCCAACAGTGCAGGTCAAAAAAAGAGATGTGAATGAGACAATAATACAAATAATAATAATGTATACACATTTACAACTGTAGCAATGATAAATGTCCATTTGGGGGGTGATGGCAGGGTAAAAGTTTGTTTTTGGGGTTAGAATATCCATAGGGGGAGCAGTAGGGGGGGATAGCAGGTAGCTGTACAGTGGCCATTCAGCAGCCTGATGGTCTGGGGGTAGAAGCTATTGGCCAGTCTGACAGTTTTTGCCATGATGCTCCTATACTGCCCGCGTCTGAGTGAAGGAAGCGGGGAGAACAGGGCGTGGCTCAGGTGGCTGAGGTCCTTGATGATCTTCTTGGCCTTCCTGTGACACCTGGTGTTATAGGTGTCTTGGAGGGCAGGCATTGAGCACCCAATGGTGCGTTCGGCTGAGCATACCACCCTCTGTATAGCCTTGATGTCAGCGGCGGTGGAGTTGCCGTACCAGTCCGTGATGCAACCCGACAGTATGCTCTCGGAGGTGCTCCTTTAGAACACTGCGAGGCCCATCGGGGACAGGCCGAATTTCTTCAGCCTCCTGCGGTTGAAGAGTTGTTGCTGTGCCTTCTTCACCACGGTGTCCGTGTGGTTTGATCATTTCAGTTCATCTGAGATGTGTACGCCGAGGAACTTGATGTTTTTGACCGTCTCCACGGCGGCCTGTTGATAAGGATGGGGGCGTGCCTAACCTGGTTCCTCCTGAAGTCCACAATCAGCTCCTTTGTTTTGCTGACGTTGAGGGAGAGGTTGTTTACCTGGCACCACGCCGGCAGAGTGCCTACCTCCTCTCTGTTGGCTGTCTCATTGTTGTTGGTAATCAGGCCTACTACTGTCGTGTCGTCAGCGAACTTGATGATGGAGTTGGAACTGTGTGAGGCCACGCAGTCATGGGTATACAGGAGTGGGAGGGGGTAATGTTGCCTACCTTCACCACCTGGCCCAGACTTAGGGGAGAGCTGGGACGAGGGGAGAGCTGGGACGAAGTAGCACGAGGCGAAAGTAGCTACCACTTCCATTTTCTCAGATAACACAGAAGCTATTATGAAGTAGTGAAGCCCAGCATGTTCCTAAGTTTTGTTTTCATGAATTTTTATGACATTACATTTACATTTCAGTTATTTAGCAGACGCTCTTATCCAGAGTGACTTACAGTTAGTGAGTGCATACATTTTTTCATACTGGCCTCCCGTGGGACATAGACAATTTTTGTGGCTGTGGAATCTAATGGAAACCGTTTCTCATCCGCACACAGGCTTGAAAATCACTGCACCAGTTTAAGCTAGCCAGAGATACTTTTGAGGAGATGGGAAACTCCATTGGAATCGATTTAACACCCATTAACGCTCTTTGTATTCACACTGCCCTTGCCTTTGAATGAGGACTCAACTCTTTTGCTAGTTCACTTCACCTATTTTGTGGTCCGAGTCCTCTTTGCATTTGCAATTGTAATCAGAAGATACTATGTAAATATTATTGGTAACAGAATAAATGGCAGAAGAATAACTGCAGATTAAATAATGCTGTAATTGAAAATGATACACCCAATGTAGGCTACTGCCCCTTTAAGAGCAATAATTGATTTTGTTCCATATGTTGTGATTCTCACCAAATAAGTTGGTGTCTTCTCACACGATTCAAACCCTACAATTGAATAAACAGCTTATGAGCTCTTAGCCTATAGATCACATATTGCAAACAAATAATCTGAACTAAAAACTCTGTGCAACTGTGCATCCTTGACAATCGCTAATCAATAGGCCTAACCAAAAACAGCACACCTTTTTTCTGCGAACCTGCACATCATCTTCTCTCTAGTGTGGCGCCAATGTGGGAGGGTTTATGGCAGGGGAAACGGTGTTGTTGTAGTCTAGTGTGTGGTGCAGGAATAATAACAAGCGAACCTGGGGAGCTTTCTGTTCACATTGCCATAAAAAAGGGAACCTTACCACGGAATTCAAGCAAACCGAACTCAGACCACCTGTCGAGATGGTCTCAGTTCGGTTCGCTTCGGAGGCTCTTTTGAGGGGTCTGAGTTCCTTTGGAGTGTTCACAAAAATTGGCTGAAAGGAACCAAGTGTGAAAACTCTCTTAGACTTCCGACTTCAGTGCGTTCAAGACAACTGGAAACTCAAGGAAAAAATGAACTCCGGCTGAAAAACGGTCATCCAACTCGGAATTCCAAGTACGGAACTCGAGCATCTTTCTAGAGCTCCGACTTTCCGACCTGAAGATCGATGACGTCATGATTACACCTCATTTTTTCCCGAGTTCCCAGTTGTCTTGAAAGCACCATCATACCCTGACTTTGATGTAGGGATTGCGTGACAATTAGCTTAGAAACTGCGTGACGCAGCATGACAAAGTGAACTTGATTGGTCGACAGTCTGCTGGGTGGGCGTTATGTTATACTCCATTCATTGCCCAATTTGATTCCTATCTCCTCCTTTCCCTAATATCTCTGAGTCGGTCTGTGCTATCCAGAATAATAATAATAATAATAATAATAATATGCCATTTAGCAGACGCTTTTATCCAAGCGACTTACAGTCAAGTGTGCATACATTTTTAGGTATGGGTGGTCCCGGGGATCGAACCCACTACCCTGGGGTTTACAAGCGCCATGTTCTACCAATTGAGCTACAGAGGACCACATCCTTGGGACGTCCCTACCCCCATTGAAGTAGAAATGTAAAATGGTTCATGTAGGGGTTAAGGTTAGGGTTATGGTTACCCACTGGGCACACACTGGTTGAATCAACGTTGTTTCCATGTCATTTCAATGATATTACGTTTAACCAACGTGGAAAGATGTTCAATTGACGTCTGTGCCCAGTGGGTAGGGTAGGGACGTCCCAAGGATTCCGCATAGCACTGACCTTGCTGAGTCCCCAACAACTGGATGTTTTCAGGGGAAATGGAAAGAGAGCCTGTGACACGACTTCCGCTTTTGGACGTTAACAACAAATATTTGCATAACAAACCCAAGATAGACTACAGCCTATCATTTCCAATGGGAGCAAATTAATCATAGTGGGAAGAAAAAGCAAGGAGGTGGGCAGAGCAAAGCACGAGCTAGTGAGATCCTATTGGTGCTTACTAGCATGTATTTGCAGAATGTCGGCCAAAATCCATCTCGTTTCATCTTCTCTGTCGTCACTAATTACCACAGCCACAAAGTCATAACCCCGCCTATTTCTACAATTTCTCTTCTTACATTTGGACCCTTCCTAACCCTAA